ATATGACATCTGCGATGCAACAATAATGAAGTAAATGTATTTTCTCAGAATAACAGTCACTTTATCCTCTCATTCACTCCAACTTCACAATCACTCATTCCTTACAATCACTCATTCCACCTAGTCACTCTGCACTCGGCACTCGGCACTCGCACTCAGCACTCGCACTTAGCACTCGCACTCAGTAGGTACCTGCGCTCACTAGGGGTGTGTACAGACTCCGGAGGGGCTCCTTCAGCCTAAGCGCTATAACAAGCTACCTCGTGGCATAAATCAGTCAGGCCCTCGGCCTCACTCAATCATAAATCAGTAACAGCATGTTGCGACGTGCAGCTCGATCCCATAAATATCCTCACAGATCAGGCCCTCGGCCTCACTCAATCATAAATCAGTAACAGCATGTTGCGACGTGCAGCTCGATCCCATAAATATCCTCACAAATTAGGCCCTCGGCCTCACTCAGTCATAAATCAATAACAACATGTTGCGACGTGCAGCCCGATCCCATAAATATCCTCACAGATCAGGCCCTCGGCCTCACTCAGTCATTAATCTCTCTAGTCTCTCGGGCTCTCAAAAATCATATAAATAGCCCAAACAGAGGTAATGTCATGTATCAACAATGAACAGCAAGAGACAGAGGCATAATAAGCAAGAAAAGCTATGGCTGAGTACAAAACAACAATTAACAGCTAATTCAATAAGTACACGACCTCACAGGTCTCAACAGCGATCACATAAGACCTAAACATGATTTCTAACATGAAGTACAGTCAATTTTTATGAAAACAGAGGGAACATGTTTTAAACAGTTGGCCATTTAATTCCACAGTCTCGCGGGACGAACCAAGTCACAATCCCTACGGTCATGCCCACACGCCCGTCACCTATCATGTGTGTCACCTCCAAAATAGTCAGACGACACAATGTCCGGGGTTTCATACCCTCAGGACCAGATTTATAACCGTTACTTACCTTAATCCGAGCAAAAATCCAACTCCGAAATGCCTTTGCCCCTCGAATCGTCCTCCAATCGACTTGAATCTAGCCACAATTAACTCAACTTAGTCAATACTAATTATAGGAATTAATTATGTATGAAAATACTAATTTTCCAACAAAATCCGAAATTTAACTCAAAATTGCCCATGGGGCCCACATCTCGGAATATGAAAAAAGTCACGGAATATGAACCCCCATCCAACCATGAGTCCAATCAAACAAATTTTACCAAAATCCGACATCGGATTGGCTTTCAAATCTTAAAAATTCATCTTTATGGAATTTTAGAAAATTCCTCCATTTCTCTTCAAATATCAATAATCTAACGCCAAAAATGAAGATTTACTCACGAAATATAATCACAAGGGATTCAAGAACACTTACCCCAAGAATTCCCATGATTTCTCGCTCAAAATTGCCCAAACCCCGAGCTTGGCAGTAAAAAAAATGACCAAAAACCGGACTGCTGGACTTAAAACTGTCCAAAATTTTCGAGTTACTGTTCACGCGTGTTACTGTTCACGGTGACTATTCACAACGACTGTTCACGGCGACTGTTTATGGCACTGTTCACGGCTACTGTTCATCGATACTATTCACAGATACTGTACATGGCTACTATTCATGGATACTGTTAACAGATACTATACACGGATACTGTTCAAGCTCCTATAAAAAATCCAACAGCTGTCCAAAACAATTTCAGCAGCTTTTCTTCAGTCTGAATCAATCCGTTAACCTTCCGAAATTCACCCGAGGCCCTCGGGACCTCAACAAAATACATCAACCAGTCCTAAAACATAATACAAACTTAGTCGAAACCTCAAATCACATCATTAAATGCTAAAACCGTGCATCACACCCCAATTCAAGCCTAATGAATCTAAGAACGTTGAACTTCTATATTCGATGCAAAAACCTATCAAATCAAGTCTGAATGACTTCAAATTTTGCATACAAGTCATAAATGACATAACAAAGCTATGAAAATTTTTAGAAGTGGATTCTGACCCCGATATTAAAAAGTCATCAAAATGCGCTTAAGTCCAAAAATCCATTCCGGGGTGTTTTTCTCAAAAGTCAAATCTCTGGTCAAACTTAAGAAATCTTTAGCCTTAGATTTCTAGATTCCGTTAAACAGCGATAATTTGATCTAGGGACCTCTAAATTCAATTGCGGGCATATAACTAAGTCACAAATCACGATACAGAACTACCGGAATGGTCAAAACTTTTATCCGGATTCGTTTTGCTCAAAATAATGACCGAAGTCAACTTAGTTAAGTTTTAAAGCTCTAGTTCACAATTTAATCCATTTTTCACATAAAAACCTTCCGGAAAATTATACGAATTGCGCATGCAAGTTGAGGAATTATTAATACCACTTTTCAAGGTCTTAAAATACCGAGATGATCATTTAATTTAAAGATGACATTTTGGGTTATCACATTGTTGTTGTTGTTGTTGTTGTTGTTGTTACTTTTATTTTCATTTTTATTGCCATTTGCGAAAAGTATATCATTTTCTTTTATTTAATTAAATAGTAATGTTTCTTTAATCCTATGGTTTATAAATACTTGTTCCAAAATTGTTATAGTTCTATGCATATCAATTAGTGTAAAGGCTATTTTTATATATTCACATTACGTAGTATTATATAATATGATTATTAGAATATTTTATAAAAAATTAGAAGCCCAAAGAAATACCCAAGAAGATAGGAGGCTAAAAATCCAAATATTGTCTTTTCAATCAGTTAGCCCAAGCCTAAGTCGGCCAAAATCTGCCCAACAAGCAGTCCAAAATCCTCCACTTTAGCCCAACTATAGAACACTCTAGAACCCCATCAAAACTACGTCGTTTTGATTAATATTCCAGACTTTAATCTCAGTCGTATAAGCTCTACTCTTTCATTCTCAAAGACCTAGACACAATTAGCATTTTAATTTTTCCATTCTCTCTCCAAAACAGACGCTTCTTCTCCTCCCTTACCTTTTCTTCAAAAATTCCATTGTTGCCCAGCCATGGCAGACCTGCCATTACCATTTTTGAACAAGAAGCTTTGCACCTCATTTAATTTTCGTCAATATCAATGTTCAAGAGCTTTTCACTCAATTTCGAAATCTCGCCTAAACCAAGAACCCTAGAAATCAGCCTATAAATACCCGCCTTTGAAAAGATTTTCGACCAAGCTGAGAGCCACCCCTTTTACCCCAAATATTGAAGGTCTTTAGTTGTTGCCTTCACCTTTTGAGACCAAACTTAGAGCCGCCTCTCTTCCCCTCTATAAATTATCATATGCTTATTAACTGTTATTTATCTCAGAAAAGCTTCATTCTTTTTTACTCCCCAGCTATTTATGTTGGGTATTTACCCTTGCATAAAATCGATTATCTTCATTTATTTTAGTCGAATATGCATTTGTCTGAGATGAAAGAGTGGTCTCAAAATCAGAGTTCGATAACGAATCTAAGATCCATGCCTCGGTTCGCTGCTCCGCAACAGGTTAGTTTTCTTTCTAAACTGTAATCTTTTGTTCCCTTATTTTGTTATTAGACGTAAAGTATGTGTTGTTTCGTCTTCTGTAGAAATTGCGTTCCTTAGTGAGTCGTATTCTAGCTGTTTACTTACTAAATGTGAAGAAGACATGTTTGTTAAAATTACTCTACAAAATGGGTTATGCCGTTTTAGCCAGGAATTATGATCTAAGTATAAGAGTCATGTTTTAGGAGTTGTATAGAAACTATGCCTTTAAGCATTTTATAAGATAGACCATATATTTTTAAAAGATTGAGTGGTCAGTGCTTTCTTCTTTTTATCCTTCCCCTTTTCTTTCGAATCTGCTAGTTTTGAATATTTTTTTGATTTGGTTTAAGTTGAGATTAATTCATGTCCTATGTCCTAGATATCATGAAAATAAGTATTCGTCATATGTTTGAAAAATCATTAAGTTAATATGACATTCTTGTGATTCTTAGATTTGTTAAAAGTAGTATGTTAAGCGTTTTTTATTTAAATATATATAAATCGTGATTTAGTTGATATCTATATCATGTTTAGGACTCATTTTATTTATAAATACACACTTATTTACTAGAGGTTTATAAATACTATGCCAATAGGCCCCATTATTTTGCAGAGAATTTTAAGAGAGTAGAATTCATGTCTAGTTACTATGAGTATGCGAAATTTACCATGCCAAATACTATCTTTTTTTTGTCTGAATGTAGAAGACTATTGGTTTTTGAGGAATATAGAATGCTTTGTAGTCTATTGTTTGGATTCGTTTAACCATAGAAGAATACGCCTGTAGGTTTATTGAACTATGAAAATTGTCTAATGGTTATCACTAACTGTTGAATACATATTGTTGGATTGTAAACATATTATAAATTTTAGTCTTTCCTCTAAGTACTGAAATCTTGATTGCATGACAGCATATCTTCTTTATTTTGAATCCGGTAATCTAAAGTGCATTCATTATGTATTCACCCTAAATTTACCTTTAATATAGAGGGTAACTAACCAAAGCAGATGATCATCAGTAATATCTACAAGAAATAGGGACTTATAAACTACTAAGGTCCTGTTATAAATCAAAAGAAGTATAATACTAGTTTTATTGCCTTTATATGCTATTACTGTTATGGATGACTCCTAATTCTTTATTTTTCCTTTCTTTGCATGCATGCTTTGGAGCAAACAGAGTCTTAATTTGAGACTCGTAGTGGAGTCTCATAGAGACTCAATGTTACCCCATCACAACATGGAGTCGTTGCATACCATCTTCCTTAGAGCACCGGATAGTGAATAAAACAAGCGAATCGCTTGGGATCGCCTATGGCGGCTTTGTTTTCTACTTATTCTGTCTGATGTTGTTAATCTTTGTGATTTGTTTATTTGAACCTATGATTGATAATTAATTTTATCATTTAAAATTACAACTTTAATTTTGGAAAAGTATTTTATTGAAAAAAGCACTTAAAAGGATATAATGTGCTAAGAGCTTTGGGGAGATAGTTACCAATTGAGTCTTTATTTTTTTTTTAAACTTTTGAGAAAGTAGTTTTATAAACTAAGACAGAATTTGAACATGTTTTCAAATCAGTTGACTCTTTACTCAAAGGACGTCTTCTTCATGATAAGCTTTTTGATAAATTTGTGTTGAATATTTAACCAAACTACTTCGGAACTTTGATCCATTTCCTAAGTAAAAAAGACTGTTTTTCTCGAGTTTAGTTTTAAAAAAATTTCAATCCAACATGTAACGTTTTTGTTTTGAAACCTAAGCTTATTTTGCTTATTCAAGATATTTCGATTTGGGTTTGAAATTTAATTTCTTTTAAAAGACGTCCTAGTCCATTGAGATTCTTTCTGGAGTCACTTTTTTAGCCGTAAACTAACCTAAGTTTGGCTGGTTAACCATTTTTAATGGATCTTAAAAGGTGCCTTACCCCTTCCTTTTAAGATAACTAGAACCCTTACCTAGAATTTTTAACACTAAGCAGACTATATAAAACAGAGTTAACTTTAAGCATTACTTAGTTAAAGTTGGTGTCCTAATTCACCATTAATACAATTAGGTGGCGACTATCTTAATTAATTAAACCTCAGATTTACCAATATGTTATACTCTAACTTGACCCGTGTTAAAATGGGGTATAACAGCTTGGCGACTCTGCTGGGAATTTCTAGGTTCTAAACCACAACAAACTTAGGTTAATAATAAAAATTAATTTGTGTGTTTTTGATTGTTATGATGCTTATTTGAATTGCCGTTATATGATAAACGGTATTTTATGAATTGCTCATCTATTCTTTTTGCTTTATATAAATTGTCATTCCTATTTCACTTCCTCCACTTCTGAAAAATTCACACAAAGCACACACCTAGCGGTTACGCGGTTTGCGGCCGTGCACTACTCAAAACACCTTTTAGGAAAAAGTTCGTGGGTAAGTCGATCAGCGGTGCTATCGACAGTCATGGGCTTTCCACTCTCAAGTTGTCCACTTGAGAGCAGACCAGTCTAGAAAACCCATTCTTAGTCAACCTAAGATAAAGCTAAATCAAAACCCTTTTAAGAGCATGCATCATTTTAACCTTAGGTGATTTAATACCTGAGGTGCATTAAACCCACAAGTTGACCTCACCTAAATGTTAAAGTGGGTTTTCAACCCCAAGTGACACCTTATCACGTATATGTACATTATTTTAAGGGCGAACATGTCAATTATGTGGATCATTTACTTTAAATTAATTAAATCCTAGTTAAAGAAGCATGACTATCTATAACGACCCGACCGGTCGTTTTGAGCTCTAGCGCATTGTTCAGAAGTTGGAAGTCATGAACAACTTCATTTCAGGTATATTGACTTGTACGTATGGTCAGAGTTGAATTTCAGGAAATTCGGAGTCAAATTGGAAAGAAACTTTTCATTGCGGCAACCTTAAGTTGAAGAAAATGGCTAAGATTGGAATTTTGAGTAAACGATCTCGGAATTGGGATCTGAAAGTTCCAGCATGTTCGTATGATGATTTCGGACTTGGGCGTACGTCCGGATTTGGTTTTGGATAACCCGTGAGCATTTCGGCGTATATTGTGGAAGTTAGTATTTTAGAAGAATTTCATAAATTTGGGTTGGAAGGCATTTCAGAGTTATAGATGTACGTTTGGGATTCTGAGTCTGGGAATAGCTCCGTATGGTAATTTTGGAGTTGCGAGAGTGATCGGAAGTGAATTTGGATGTCCGGAGGTCATTTTGAAGTCATTTGGCTAAATATAGATATTTGAAGGTTTTTGAGAAAATTCGACCGGAAGTGGAAATTTTGATATCGGGGTCGGAATGCGATTCAAAAAGTTGGTGCAAGCCCGTAATGTCGAATATGACTTGTGTGCAAAATTTGAAGTCATTCAGACTAGTTTTGATAAGGTTTGAGACACTTAGTCTCTTTTAAGGAAGTTTAAGTTGGAAAAGTCAACCGGATATTGACTTATATGTTAGAGGGCTCGAAATGCAAATTTTATGGTTCGGATAGCTTCGTTAGGTGATTTGGGACTTAGGAGTGTGTCCGGAATATTTTTGTGATGACCGGT